TGCTTTTGAACTTTGGAGTTGGGGAAGACTCCTGAGAATACCATGGACAGACAATCAATCAATCAATCAATCAATCAATCAATGGATCATTGAACAAATCAACCCAGAGTTCTCACTCAAGGCATAAATGACCAGGCTCAAATTATCCTACTTTGGATACATTATGTGAAGAACTTGCTCTATGAAGAAGGCTCTAAAGCTGGGAAAGGAAGGAAAGAGAAGAAGAGGATGACCAGCAGCACGGTTGATGGACTGTTACAATAGCAATGAGTGCATCGTTGGAAGTGCTAAAGGACCAGGTTAGGAACAGATCATCATGGAGAAAACCTATCTATGTGGTTACTAGGAGTCAAAAATAACTTGATGGCACATAATCATAATCAGGTGCATCTCGCACAGCAATGGTGTAACATGGTTGAATCGTGGGGCACCCAAAACTGCACATATTGCCACATTCTGGACCAGTTGTGATTTTATGTTTAGAAAAAACCCCATGGCAAGAGTTCTCTTAGGATATCTTTTGTTGGAATTTAATTGAGATGTGGGAAGCCAGGGAGAGTGCAAACAACTGGGTTTATGATTCAAAGCAGAGCAATCATGCAAACCTGCACCTCTTGGCACCACACAATGGTGGTGAAAATTTTACAAAACGATTTCCCTCAAAAACAAACAAAAACCAAAGCCTTTTATTTTCCATCAAGTATTTGGGCCATAAGCCAGTGGTCAACAGTAATTTCATATGAGAGCAAATTCTAGATAGGCCACAGATTCTTACACAGTGGATTTGTAGGACTGTCCATAAACAGCCAAATAAAAATTTTGCCTATTTAGATAGCCCCTGAGGTGGGGTGGAATCCTGCATCTTGATCAAAGGATCTTAAATGCCTTTCCCCGATTCGCTTTTTAGTTTTTGATTTAACTCTCTGTTCTCTCTCTCCAAGGTACGCAAACTTGAGCAGCAGAACAAAGTGCTGGAGACGCAGCTGAAACTTCTGAGGGACAAAGACCAATACAAATCCAATGTGAGGCACATTATGACAGTCCACAGCCAGCCCCTTAAGCAGCAGATAGAGACCCTCAATCAAGATAAGGTGAAATTGCAAAATGAGCTGGACCACACGCAGACTCTTCTGGAGGAACTGAAAAGCCAGTGAGCAAATCATAAGAGATAATGAGAGATGTGTTATTTAATATTCCGTTTGTATGTTTGGAATACACATATGTGTCTGTTTAAACTAAATATCCTTCATGTAGCCAAGGCAAATTCAGATCAGGGCTGTAGCTCTGTGGCAGGGGGAGGTTTTCCAGATTTAAACTAGGCATGCTATTTGTAAAGATGGGCACTCCTGTGCAACCATTTCAAGGGCACCATATTGTGAAATATTGTTCTGTATGTGGTGAGATATTATGTTTGAATGATCTGATGGCAGCCAGATTTCACCGACGGTGTTGTGCGTGGTTCTTCTCCTTCTTCACAATATATACTGTAGGCCTCTGAGCTGTAAGTAGTAAAAGTGTATAAAAGCTTGTGGCAGGCAAATAAACTTTCCTGCATTTTTGTTTCTACTCATTCTCATTCAATTTGATGAAAAAGAATTGACTTCAGAATTTTTTTCAAGGGAGCAGATTTTTTCAGTGAATTTCTCATGAGTGGAATGTGGTGTTTGTGTCTTTATTATAAAGTGCTCAGGATGTGTGAAAATATTATGAATGGTGGTGCACTAATCCAACTGCAGCCACCTTGGTGTAAGAACTAGTTCTCAAATGGTCACAAGCAAACAGCCTGATACCAGATCTGCCCGTTACTAAAATGGGAGAAGTGGAAACTGTCCTTCCCTCCCAAAAGAGAATAGCTTCTAGCCCATTACATCATACTGGTGAGAAAAAGAGATGCAAGAATTTGAACAATAATTTCTCTGTAAATAAGTCTTGTATTTGATACACAGCAGATACTGGGATTCTCTAGTTTTTCTACAGAAAATTTACTTAGCAGAAGTGTTTGAAACCTTGAGGGCTTGTTTATCTGTTTCCAGTCCAGCTTGCTGGGAGAAACCTGCCATTTGGCTTCCCACACTTCCATGAAATCCCAAGGGAAGATATCATGAGGGGAATCCTGCCATGGGGCATTTTCAGTAGCAGTGAAAATGTCACCAGTAAGAGATGTTCGTGCCTTGCGAAGTTGTTTATTTCTTCTGCCTGGAGAAATCACCCACCCCATTTCTCTGCCCACACATTAGATGAAGAATTCTGAAAAACAATTCACATTCAGTCTTACTTTACCTCAGCTGAGTGTTAGTGTTCCAGCTATTATATTCCCAGTGCTACAACTATCAACAGACTTAGCTAGTTTTCATATTTATTTTACAACATTAATCTAAAATGGTACATATTGGATGCTTTCAAGACAAGCTGCAACTCTTGCAGAGGCTAGAGAACAGGAAGTTGGTAAATGGTACATACCCACTGGACAAGTCATCTTAAACTGCACCTCACAAGCATTATCTCTTGTCTCTGATCTGTAGGTATGAAGAGGAGATAAATCAGCGTAATCAGCTGGAAAATGAGTTTGTGGTGACTAAAAAGGTGAAATGAGTATTGGAGCCTAAAAATTGGTGGGACCTGACCAATTTTTATTACCCCTGACCAATCCAAGACTGCTTTTCTCTCTTCTGCAACTTCCAGCTTACACAACTTTCTTTCTTGAGAAGTTCAAACTGCTCTCAGTCTCAGTTTTCCTTTGCTTTTCCATATTCACCCATTCTCCTTGCTTTGTCTTCTCTTTTTGGGCAATATGACAGAGGGCTGGTTTCTATATGGTATGATGGAAGGGGGACTGTTAAATGTTTTTGTCTCCACACTGTGCATCTTTCTATGAAATAGGAAAAGCGCACACAAGATGGATGGATGGATGGATGGATGGACGGACGGACGGACGGATAGAGTTAAAGACTGCTTTTCTCTCTTTTGCAAGACTGCTTTTCTCTCTTTTGCAAGACTGCTTTTCTCTCTTTTGCAAGACTGCTTTTCTCTCTTTTGCAAGACTGCTTTTCTCTCTTTTGCAAGACTGCTTTTCTCTCTTTTGCAAGACTGCTTTTCTCTCTTTTGCTTCTCTTTTTGGGCAATATGACAGAGGGCTGGTTTCTATATGGTATGATGGAAGGGGGACTGTTAAATGTTTTTGTCTCCACACTGTGCATCTTTCTATGAAATAGGAAAAGCGCACACAAGATGGATGGATGGATGGATGGATTGATGGACGGACGGATAGAGTTAACCTGATTTCCACTCTCCTTTAACTTCAGCCAGAGAGAACCA